TTACCAATCAATCCACCTTCCACTATAATACCGCATCCTCACAAGGGGGACCTACAAAACGCGACCCATGCCCTAAAAATTTATTGATAATAAAAATCTGTGATGAAAAATGAGAGGTGGGAATGAACCCCCAAAACAAAACTAAATATAAACACAAAATAAAGCAAACATGATGTTAGTAGGGTTACGTCAACCCTCAAAATGTGAGGCCGCTGTATTCTGCCCATTTGGACAAAATTAAGAAGCTCTCTTGCTAAGGGAGTGGGAAAAAGAGAAAATATACGCGGACATGGGAAAGAAAAAAATGTGGACTTTCTCAAAGCAAAAAACCAAATGAATTTATTTAAAGAAAGTAACTAATACTAACAAAAACAAAATGTCCTTAGCAACTGGAAGAATTTAGAGAACGCTATTTTCATATTGTTAACTGAAAATTACGTCAATTACTGTCACATATGGAGATATTGTTGTTATTGCTGTGTTGATGGATTCAACTATTTTCTTTTGATTTTGATGGATTCAACCATTTTCTTTTGATTCTTTGTTTGAATAAATTCATTTCCTTTTTTGCTTTGAGAAAGTCCACATTGGACGAAACGCGTCGGCGACAACTACAGTTTTCCTATTGTCATTTATATTCAAATTATTATATAACAAATAAAATTTTAAGGAAAGACAAATTATGAAAAAGTGGAAAAATTTTTCGTATGCCATGTTTCATTCTTCATCGGGTCTAAAGTGATGTTTATGCTGATGCGACTGTAGATGTTTAAGAAGGAAAAAGGGATGCTGGGATATTTTTTTTAAATATGATTTCAGTGTATAAATTTCAAGAAATTGGACGTAAATATACTGTGCATGCTATTAAAGCACATTCTTTAAACTTTTGTTTTAAATGCTATCTCTCTTAATTCCAATAGAATTATGATCCGGCTTATTCCGGTGGCATTTAATGCGTTCTGTTGTTCCTGAGTCTTGCTAATGTATACTTGCACTCAGTTGAAACGAGTCATCAGTAACTGAACAATACTAAATAGAAATAAGAACGAGACGGGGTAGATTGATCTCTTTTCACTGCTCATGTCTAGGGATATCATCTAGTGGTTTTGAGATCAATTCCTGGGTCGGGAAGTGTGTATTTGCACTCAGTGGAAACGGGTGAGCAATAACTGAACAATACTAAATAGAAATAAGAACGAGATGGGGTAGATTGATCTCTTTCACTGCCTCATGTTCAGGGATATCATCTAGTGGTTTTGAGATCAATTTGGGTCGGGAAGTGTGTATTTGCACTCAGTGGAAAACGGTGAGCAATAACTGAACAATACTAAATAGAAATAAGAACGAGAGGGTAGATTGATTCTTTTCACTGCTCATGTCTGAGGATATCATCTAGTGGTTTGAGATCACCCTGGTCGGGAAGTGTATTTGCACTCAGTGGAAACGGGTGAGCAATAACCGAACAATACTAATAGAAATAAGAACGACGGGTAGATTGATCTCTTTTCACTGCTCATGTCTAGGGATATCATCTAGTGGTTTTGAGATCAATTCCTGGGTCGGGAAGTGTATTTGCACTCAGTGGAAACGGGTGAGCAACAACTGTCAATACTAAATAGAAATAAGAACCAGACGGGTAGATTGATCTCGTTCCGCTGCTCATGTCTAGGGATATCATCTAGTGGTTTTGAGATCAATTCCTGGGTCAGGAAGTGTGTATTGCACTCAGTGGAAACGGGTGAGCAATAACTGAACAATACTAAATAGAAATAAGAACGAGACAGGGTAGATTGATCTCTTTTCACCGCTCATGTCTAGGGATATCATCTAAAAAAGTGGTTTTGAGATCAATTCCTGGGTCAGGAAGTGTGTATTTGCACTCAGTGAAACGGGTGAGCAATAACTGAACAATACTAAATAGAAATAAGAACCAGACGGGGTAGATTGATCTCTTTCACTGCTCATGTCTAGGGATATCATCTAGTGGTTTTGAGATCAATTCCTGGGTCCCAGAAGTGTATTTGCACTCAGTGGAAACGGGTGAGCTATAACTGAACAATACTAAATAGAAATAAGAACGAGACGGGGTAGATTGATCTCTTTTCACTGCTCATGTCTAGGGATATCATCCAGTGGTTTTTCCATCAATTCCTGGACGTCAGGAAGTGTTTTACACTCAGTGGAAACATATACGAGCAATATACTTGAACAATACTAAATAGAAATAAGAACGAGACCACCGGTAGATTGATCTCTTTCACTGCTCATGTCTAGGGATATCATCTAGTGGTTTTTGAGATCAATTCCTGGGTCGGGAAAGGTTTTTATTTACTCAGTGGAAACGGGTGAGCAATAACTGAACAATACTAAATAGAAATAAGACCACCAGACGGGGTAGATTATCTCGTTCCGTTGCTCATGTCTAGGGGATATCATCTATTTTTTCAGATCAATTCCTGGGTCGGGAAGCGTGTATTTGCACTCAGTGGAAACGGGTGAGCAATAACTGAACAATAATAAATAAAATAAGAACCACGAGGTAGATTGATCTCTTTCACTGCTCATGTCTAGGGGATATCATCTAGTGGTTTTGAGATCAATTCCTGGGTCGGGAAGTGTGTATTGCACTCAGTGGAAACGGGTGAGCAATAACTGAACAATACTAAATAGAAATAAGAACGAGACGG